TCATTATTAAATTTCACTTAGCGGGGACAAAAGATAAAAATAATTACAGCGAACCTTCTTGCCAAATTTAATGAGATGACCTGAGCAAAGACGCTTGATATCACATGCGAAGTGACTTGAGTTCGTTTCAGTGCGATGTCTGACAACTTAATGAACATTTCGGGATGTCCGTTTGTGTGATTTTTCTTTTCTGGATATGTAAATGGAAAATCAGGGTTTGTTCAGGTAACAGTTTACGAGAAGTTTGCGGGCTTGAGAAAATTTTGACCGCTGCCTTTACGAGTTCTTCGAATTGTGTAAATAAGCCTTCATTGCTCAACTTCAGTGGCGGTACGCCTCGGTCTATTGTCCTGCGGGACGTCGTTTGGGAATCACAGTTGCTGACGGATATTTCCCCTTCAGATCGACTGTGCAGACGCACTGGCGTCCCGATACGAGCATTAATACGTATTGTGTAGTTCAGGGGAGGGCGGCAGCGAACTGGAAGTAGAGAGGTTCGCGCCATTCTCGCTCGGAAACAGCCTCTGGAGGAACATGTCCTGCCGACTGATAAAGTGAGGTTGGACTGCAGCCCCTTGGGTTGTTAACGTGAGTCACCCACCTGTCGGTCACAGACACGGGACCTGTACAACCGCATGTGTCAAAAGTTGATTTTCATCTCTCTTTATCTTTCTCTCTCTCTTTCCGTTCCGCTGTGTTTCCCCTTTATTTCATCTCACGGATAAATGAAGGAACAATCAGGGAAATCGCACTAATGGTGGAGGTAGTATGTACCTGTGAAACATCGTCACGGCTCAAGATCCCAGAAGACGTCATGCTCTCCGCCGTTAGAACCTGAAATCTCACCATCGATAAAAATTTTCTTGTGGTTACCAAGTGGATAGACAGAAGTCGCTATCCTTTGGGATCTTCTTTGTATCCAGGTTCTCGGCTTGAGGGCCGATTTAGATATTTTGTAATTTCCTTTAATATCTTGTTTAATATGGCGGCATAGATCCTTAGAATCTCGCCTTTACTTCCTCTCATTTCCTTACGGCCATGCTCCAATCTGAATCAAAGGACGTATTCAGTTAGAAGGCTTTGTTAAGTGGTACTAAACTATGAAATAAGCCAAATAGACAGGTTTCACGAGGTGTTCCGGTGCTTGGCCAGTCTTTAAAATAGTTGGTAACGCTCTGTTCAAGTCGTTTGTTTTTCCCGGTGCCGTGGTTGATGGACAGTACCTGCCTCGTCGCGTCGCGCCTCGGAGTCTGGCAGTGTTTGTGACTCACCGTGGCCGCTGGCTGGCGATTTCTCACTCAACCGCGAGGTGTAAATACCGAGGAGGACACAGTGGCTGCAGCGGAGAGATTAAATATAGACCTACCAGGCGCCGCCTTCTCTCAGCCTTGAACGTATTACGTGCGGGATTTGACCGCACGCGTAGTAGAAATGAGAAGTGCATTTAGAATTTTTGTTGGGGATCCTGAAGACATGAGACCTTGGGTGTAGACGATGCGTCTATGATTTATGAGCGTTAAGTTCGTAGCAGACAATTTATAAGGAAAGATTAAAGTATATGTTATACCTACTCTTTGTAGCCCAACCTCATTTAATATTTTTTAAACATTCATTCCGCACCTCTTAGAGAACACAGTATTTCTCCGTTGCATTGTCCACTAATGCTGTTTATGGAAATGATCGCATAGAGAATCATACAAAACTCATAAATGCACTCTAGGGCATTTCGCAGAATTTTTGTTTGTTTGTTTGTTTGTCATCAGTCTTTCGACTGGTTTGACGTGGTCCTCCGTTTTCGCCTATCTTGCGCCAATCTATCCATTTCCACATATTTTTCCAGCCCACATGTTCAAAAATCTGCGTCACATATTCCAATCTTTGTCTACCCCTACAATTCTTCCCTTATTAAAGAAGGTTGTGCGTATAGTTACCATTTAGTCTTCGCACGGTTAAAAAATTGTAGACGACATGAAGCAAGGACGTTTCACTCAATCATCAGATCTTCCTGATGTTGGAGGCAGCAAGGACCTCCGAAACGTCTTTAAACATTTACCAGACTACACGGTGCAATAACTTAGAAGACAACCATCTTAAGAATGAATCTTGTTTTAACTCCACGCTCTCTGTGTTCCTTGAGAGCGTCATTTGTAGGTCCAGGACTAACTGTAATCCTTGTTGCCTTCCTACATTTGTATCTAAAAGCATTTCCTTTGTGCCAAAGACAGTTACTAGCAACGTTATTTACTTTCTAACAACGCAATGTAATACCGAAAAGGAAAGCGCCAAGATTTTTGGGTGTGGGTAACGAAACGAGAGAGAATGTTGATCCACCATGAGTTGGCCTTTCCCTCTGTGTCACGCGTTGAAGTTTGTTTCATAAGCGAAAGCAGTGGATGGGAAACGAATGGAAATAAAGCGATCGATAGTTATTCGTGTATTTTCGGTAAACTACGCAATTCCACGTAGTTGCATATTCGAAGATCGACGCCATTTGTTCTTTCGCACGAGTTAACAATGGATGAACCGAAGTTGATTTACCTCGTCAGTAATTATATGTAGATTTATACGACGTCTCTAGCCCTCATTACAGCAATCAAGAAATAAAACATCTCATTTGGAAAGACATAGCTAACGCCATGGGGCATCCTGGCAAGTATTGTGATTGTTAAATGCTGTGTGTTGCTGTTATGTGTGAACACGTGAAACGAACTATGTACGAAATGGCGTTTGAGTTGTCGTATTAGATTTAGTAGAAAACGATTTCATGTGTCAAATTCTGTGTTCACGTAAAAGTAAAGTAAAGTTTGTCCCACTATACGCCATGTAGGCGTTTGGGGTGAGTGGAGGTATAGCTCCTCTCTTCCTTGACCTCGGCACTAGATGGGCGTGTTGCTGACCACTCACCCCCATCTAGTGCCGAGGTCAAGCCCCATCTAGTGCCGAGGTCAAGCCCATCTAGTGCCGAGGTCAAGCCCCATCTAGTGCCGAGGTGAGGAATGAGTAGGAGCTATACCTCCACTCACCCCAAGCGCCTACATGGCGTATAGCGGAACAAATTTTACTTTCTGTGTTCACGTACAAGTTATAAAACACTCAGTACAGTAAAGTTTATATTCTAAAACCAAAAGATAACCGGTATCGAACTAAAAAAGTTTTCAGCGAACAGTGACAATGAAATTAATGCACGTAGACGTAACAGAATAAAGAGTCAAATCCATTAAGATGATAAATTAAACCGTCTCTCTTCCTGCGTAAGCATTACCATTTTTTATCGTTGACAGAAGATGACCGACTGTTTTATGGGATGCCGTAGTGTAGTCTGGTAGATACTGACCTCCCAGAAGACATTCATCTTTATATTGCCACTGTAAGAACCTGATATCTCACGTAATAATCTATAGTTCATATATTCGACTTAGTTAGCGTTTGTCAAAATGTATAAACCAAGACATTCTGGGGTAAATCTTTTTATACCGGGACTAGAACCCCGTCATCCCACAAAAGTTAAGAAAATTTTAAAAATTTCGAAGAATTGCCTGGAAATTATCACAGTCCAATTACCACATCTCATGTCCAATTGAGTGGTTTCGTCTGTGGATTGTGGGGATTTCCTGCAGTTGTCGGAAGTGTGACTGTGGGCTAAATAGACAGACATTTCAGTTTGTTTTGCTGAAACTTTACCAGCTTCAATTTGAGCAAACCGTAAATGTGCAGTCACTTGTAATGAGCACTGTTCCTTACTGAAGAGAAATGCAGACAGAGATGGAAAACCTTGAGGATCAGTTTTACGAGAGCTTTGAAAACAAGGGCAGAAGCACGGACCACAGAATCACCAAAGAAAACAAAGAAGTGGCGTTTTGAGAATGAAATGTCGTTTTTGATTCCTCATATTACAATTAAAGGATAAGCATTTTCAGGTTCCAGGCGTCCACATCTGCATCTTTTCATGGTTACAGAACGCGTTTATTTCATAACACAGTAAAAAGTAACGATCATACAGTTCAAACGTGTACTTAAAAGTTCTAATGAATTCATGAAAATATACGTTTAAAACGTGCCGAGAGTCCACGCACATTAATTTTATATTTGTCAAGACTCATTAACTGTTATTTCAGCGTTTGCATCCTGCTTATTCGCATTGTACTGTGTTAACGTTAACTTCCAGTAGATATTTAGATGATATTAGTGTGCAGTTCGTATCATAAAATTGAAAATTTTTATCGTAAACCATGGGTCCCTTAAAAATTCAGTTTCCGTGGTAGTAAAATGCTATTTTTCACTTTTGTTTTTAAAAGCATGTGCTCTGTTTTCATTATCAAAGTTTTTATGTAGATAATCAACATTTCCTAAAGGAATTTATTTATTATTTAGTGTTCTGTCTGACGACAGGTCCATATGAACTGGATCCTTCCATCCTTTTCTCGGACTGGGACCTGTTCATATACGTTCTTGGCAGATGATCCAGAAGTGGTTTGCCATTGCCTTCTTCTGTGTGTGAATGGAGTAATTGTTGGGATGCCACGGAGGAAAACTCCGTGTTGCCTAGACCACGGCCTTGCCCAACACAAGTTATAAATTCGGGCACCGCCGGGAATCGAACCCGAGACCCCAGGATTACAGGGCTGATACCGAAACAAAGTTTCTAAAGCTGGATTTTTCCGTCATCAGTTGGGACCATTGGATTTAGCTGGCTCTTGATAGGGTCTCGTGCCGAGCTCATAGAACAAAATATTGAACTTTCTTGGTCAACTGAACGTATGGTTCAACTACAGCAGTGTTTTTCAACCGGGGGTCGGCAAGTTGTGCGCCTAAGGGGGTTTGCGAGTAAGGCAGAATGTGCTCTTTAATTTTTGGGGCGGGGGTCCGCAATACTAGAAAGTTTGAGTAACGCTGCGCTGTACCACAGTAAAACCATTGTGACTGCTGCAGGCAGCGGCTCAGATGGCGAGGCTAATGCCCGCCAGGACAACATTTCATCGTGACTGCGTCTGTCATTGCAGACACAGCGCGGTGGTAGGTGATGGCGCAGGCGCCCACAGCAGCGACCAGGCGGTCTGAGTCCGACGCTGCAGCAAGTTTCACTTTTGCGGACTTTTGTGACAAGCACGTTAGGTTTTGCTACATAATGAGTGGCAAGAAATTCACTCGAGATGAGGAAGTTAAGCTGGTGGAGTTCGTGGCTTACAATGAATGTCTCTGTCATCGATCTAATGAAGACTACAAAGATACAGAGACACAAAGGACAGCATATGAAAAGAAATATCCAGGAATATGGAGGAAAAGAGCGGTGAGTTACAAGAGAGATTAAAAGTCTTTTGCACCAAAGTCAGATATTTTGAAAATAACAACAGTTCTGTAACTTAATTAATTTTTAGGCGTATTGCAACTAGATATTGCAAGACTGAGTCTCCTAGCTTCGGCCTGTTTTCTTGCAACTACTGGAGATCGGCTTAATGGATTTTCATTAAATTTAATTATGGTCAGTTTTACTGAAATATGTTAACACATTCCAAATTTGGTTAAGAATGGACAACAATATCAGGAACTTTGCACGAAGACAAACATGCGTTCGTGTCCAGTGACCTTGGTCCTCTTTCCAAGGTAATTTGTAGTAAGACAAAGGAAATGGTCTCTCCTCACAGGTTAGTGCCTTTTGTCCTTGGTTCAAGGCCATTGGTATCAGATTAAAAGCCATTGCACCTTTAGAGAATGCCCTGTATTCGATAAAGTTTTATGGGATCTTGTATGTAATGGTTATATGCTGATTAGTAGTAGAAGTAACATTTGTTTGACGTGTAGGAGGGCTTTGAAAAAGTAGTATCTTATGTTTTAGACAAGGATTGCAAGAAAAGATGTCGTTCAATCAAAGCCTCGTGGAAGAGAATGGTAATAGAAGGAAAGGAAATGTGCAGGTTCGGCTGTCCAATCCAAACGTTGCGAGTGACCTCCTGCAAACGTTCTTACCTTTCTGTCATGGACGGAAGAAGGTGGGTGTTTGCTGTTACAGAGGAAGGAATAACATTTTTACAGTTTTACAAACTGTAAAATACGTCATAAGAACCCCAGTCCTGTGCTCAAGATGACGGCGAGGAAATTTCACGTCGTGAGGATAACATAAACGAAGCAGAATCACACTCTCCCTTCCTTGTCGAAGTATTCCGTCCTTAGTGGGACGTTCCTAATCTTTAAAACTTGTAAAGAAAAGGCAGAAATTAATTGATAACTGAAAATGGGCTGGAAGCAAGGAAGACGCACTCGTCCGTTTGTTCTTCCCTTAAAACTTAGAGCGCTACTATTTTGACTATGTTCGTAAGTCACGTTATTTAGCGCGAGGACCGCTATATTCCGCTGCACTACCGAACCACTGCCTCTGTTAGTCTGGCACTGCAGTCATTGCATGTAGCAGTCCCGTGGTTTTACTCCACTAGCAGAATAATGACCTACTTTGTGACTAATTGTATCTAAAGCACTATGCTTTACACAGGCGTAGTTAATTGCAATGATTTCACGGCATTTTATGTGAGTCTGACTTTGGATAATGCATATGATTATTCTGCTACACTTTATTAATCGTTTAAGTGTTCGTAATTAAAGCCGCAACGTATCGGAAGTTAGTTTTACTTTCGTCTTTAGGTGATCTCCTGTTCGACCCCTGTACTTGAATATCTCCCGACCACGGATGCAACAGATGAGGAGTTTGTCTTCCAACCTGAAGGCTGGGACAGAACACACTTCCAGAACGTTGTGGTTTTAAATCGTATAAGGACCGTCGGAATAATTGTACAATTGTCACACCACGATCACAAAGCGTTAAATTTTGTTTCAGTAATGTGTAGATCAAACCGAGAGTTCACACTTTTGAACTAAAACGGAATTTGTTTTCAGAACTCAGTCAAACGTAACAGATTTTTCATCCCACACAAGTGATGCTGGGGAGACGTACACCTTAGATCACGCCTTGGAAGACCGTGTTAGCGATTCTGCACAAGATTGTGACGTAGACGACTCCCATGTGCTGTCTTAAGGTACAATTTGGCTGCACGCGACAGAGACAAGCGACCGAGGCAGGCGACAGAGTTACGAGACCGAGACTGGTCGCTTCCTGTCTGCTCTCTGTACAATCGTATGAAGTACAATTACGAGCGCGAGACAAAGACAGGCG